TCATTTAGTATTAGGTACAAGCAAGCCAGCAGGCATGACACAGCTATGTGAGCAGGTGGCCCAGACTCCCTAGCATTATCACTGTTGGCACTGGCACTTCTTATGGGAAGGGGCAGAGCTTTAAGACTAGCTAATGAAACTGGGAAAAGGTCAAGCTTGATCCACAGCAGGTTGGCTCAGTCTCTGGTGCAAGCCAAAAATAGGTTGTAGGTGCCCCACAGCCTGATTCAGATAGCCCTGGAAGGCAGTGTTGAGGGAAGATCCAATGTGTGAAACTGGGCTGTGCACTTGACCACCCACTTTGTGTGGAAAGTAAACATCTGGACCTCTGAGCAAGGATGTGTGGCTTGACAAGGTGGTCAAGGACCTGGAATAAGGATTGGAAGATCAGGGACGATGACCTCTTGGAGCAAGGCATGTGGAGTGGTCTATAGGAGTGGATGTGAAGTGTCCCCCACCCAAGAACATTCACCACAGAAGATGCATCAAGACAACCATGTTAACAGAATGACCTGGCCAGTTGACATCTGCCAGCCTCTGTCCTCCACTGTCCGAGTGCCAGTGGACTCACCGTTGGGGGTGGGTGAGGCTGGGGATGGGATCAGCAGCACCAGAGCTGATTTAGCTATTTCCCTGCTTGACAGCTAACTCTCCAATAACAGAGACCAAATGCTGTGTCCCCAATAGCATCATCTTTTGAGAAGAACAGTCACTTGATGGCAAGCTGATAACACTGAGCTCCTTGCACCAGAAAAAGTGATTCATCTTTTTAAAAATTTTATTTTACTTATTTATTTTTTGACACAGGCTCTCTGTCACCCAGATTGGAGTACAGTAGTGTGATCATAGCTCGCTGCAGCCTCAAACTCCTAGGTGCAAGCCATCCTCCTGCCTCAGCCTCCCAAGTAGCTAGGACTACAAGCACACGCCACCATGCCCAGCTAATTTTTTCTATTTTTAGTAGAGACGGGGTCTCTTGCTCAGGCTGGTCTCGAACTTCTGGCCTCAAACGATCCTCCCACCTCTGCTTCCCAAGTCTCTGCAACTACAAGTACAAACCACCATGTCCGGCCAGTAATTCATCTTGACTGGAACCAACACATATTCCATGCATGGGTTTGCCTTTCCTGTTCTCAGGGACTCAGCCCATTCAAGGCTCACAGTGATTCACTGATACAAGACCCCAAATACAGCTAAGGAGCTGCAGCAGTGGGCACCTAAGAGTGGGACTCACTGGTTCTCTCATAGCCATGCATCAAGAAGCTGCCAGCCAGATAGAGCAGCAGAATGCTGTGTGGCAGGCACAACTCAGGTGCAGCCTGAAGATGACACCTGCAGTGATGGAGCAGTCACCTCCAGGGTGCAATATACACTGCAAATCATTGACCATTACACAGTCCAGTGTCCTCAGTTTGTATCATAAATGGATCTGGGACCCAAAAGGTGGAAGTCATCACTCCTTAGTGACCCACTTAAGAAATTTGTGTTTTTCCTCCACTACTCCCCAAAACACACAAGACACCTCAGGTTCTTCAGGTTTAAAGGTCTTGACTCCCAGAGGGGAAACCCTTCCAACAAGGGCATGGGAAGAGTGCCATCTGGTTTCAAGCTGTGGCTGCTGCCTCGTCATTTCAATCTCCTTATGCTAAGAGACTGGCAAGCAGGGCATGTAATTTTCATCCTTCTAGGGGTGATTGCCCTGGACACAGGAGGAGGTGGGACTGCTATTACATAACAGAGGCGGGGCAGGGAAACACCCAGGTGATAGATAGGACTGGTCACCTCTTGGTCCCCTGCCCAAATCTGATGGTAAATGAAGGGGCTGTGGCCAGAGAAGGGCATGGTGACCAGGGGCTTACCTCTTAGGGATAAGGATTTGGGTCACTCGGTCAGGAAAGCCAAGCCACCTAGACCAGCAGAGGTAGTAAGCAAGAGTGGGGAGACAGACTGGACAGTAGAGGAAGAAGATGAATGTCATTTGCAACCTTGAGACCAGCTGCAGGGAGATGTAGTTCATCCCATTACTTTCCTTTTATAAGTTTCCCCAGGAAGAAGACCACCAGAATCCTGTAGGAACTGCTCCTAGAATGTGTCTGAAGCAGGTGGCTCTGAGCAGCACAGCATGGACTACTGTGAGCACTGTAGTGCACAGATCCCCGTTAGTGCTGAAGCACTTGTCCCCAGGGGCTGGATGGCCCTTCCTGGTGATTACCTGGCTGCAAAGAGCTTCTTTGTCCAAGGGCATACCCTTTCCTCAGGAGCAACTGATCCAGTGACTGGTTGGTGCTGGCATATAAAGACCCAGCTGCCTTGACCCACTCAGGCACAAATGTGCCAGGGCTATGCTTGGTCGAGAACAGGCCTTCGAGAGACTGCATTTCAGCCACCTTCTTCGTTGGCCCAGTCCTGCTTTCTTTCCTCCCCAGTCACCTTTCCAAATGCAAACCTTCATCACAGAGTCAGCCTCCCAGAGGGCCCGACCTGTGCCAGCATACGTACATAACATCTTCATGTACATAAATGGGGAGGTTTGGTCATTGCTTTAAAATATGGAATCATCACCTTCAGTTAACTGATAGAGCTGTAAGTCATTCTTTTTAACGGCTATGTGTTTCATGATATGGATGTTATATAACATACTCATCAATTTCCTCTTGATTGGTATCTACTTTGTTTCCAGTCCTTTGCCATAGTGTACAATACCGCCATACATATTTTGGTTTAAACCTATTTACTATTGTGTATATTTCTTTGAAACAGCTGAGACTGAGATTGTTTGGTTAGATGATTGATACATTTGATATCTGTTTTTATTAAGGCACTCTCTCTCTCTCCCTCATATATATATATAAAAGAGCACACATATTCTAAGTTAATAGGTCAAAATTTCACAAACACAGCTCAAGAAAAAGAACATTATTAGCATTCCCAGGGACCCATCTTGTGCTCCCTTTGGGTCACTCTTCCCCTTCTCAATTCCTAAGAGTGATGTATGCATTTTTAATTTTAATAAGTCTTGACAGTTTGCTTTCTAAAAAGGTTCTTACTATGCACATTTTTACCAGCAATGCATGAGACTACCTCTTTAACTCCATATCCAGTTATATGTAATTTAATTTGCATTTACCTTACTATTAGTGAGTTTGAGTATTATATTGTATTTGTTTGCTGTCTGAAGTTGCTTTTTTGTGTATTTCCTCTTCCTTTGCTCATTTCACCATTGAGTTGTTAGTCTTTTCTTGTCAATATATAAAAACTTGTATAATGTAGATATTAACGCTTTGTCATTTTTGTTCCAAGTGTTTCCCCAGTGCATTTTTTTCTTTTGGATGTGGTACTAGTCATATCCTCCCTATTTCTTAATCTATTAAGATTAATAGATTATCTTAATTTCTCCTAATTCCTAGGTTCAGTCTCTGGGCTGTCCTGTTGTAGAGGTCTTTTCTCTTTTATTATTTTTTAAACTTACATTTCTTTTCTCTTTTCAGATAGTTAGTGTTTCACATGCACTTTGAAATTATTGTATTAAATTTGAAGATCCCATAGAGTCTCTTTTTTTTTTTTTTTTTTTGAGACAGAGTCTCACTCTGTTGCCCGGGCTAGAGTGCCATGGCGTCAGCCTACCTCACAGCAACCTCAAACTCCTGGGCTCAAGCGATCCTCCTGCCTCAGCCTCCCGAATAGCTGAGACTACAGGCATGAGCCACCATGCCCGGCTAATTTTTTCTATATATTTTTAGTTGTCAAGCTAATTTCTTTGTATTTTTTTTGTAGAGACGGGCTCTCACTCTTGCTCAGCCTGGTCTCGAACTCCTGAGCTCAAACGATCTGCCTGCCTTGGCCTCCCAGAGTGCTAGGATTACAGGCTTGAGCCACTGCGCCCGGCCCCCATAGAGTCTTAAATTTGCCTTAAATTTATATTTGGAAAAAGTAAACATTTTGTGATACATATTCTAATGCTATGTCTTTCCATTTATACAAGATCTTGTTTTATGCCATTTCTTAAGATTTTAAGTTTTCATCATCAAGGGCCTTATGCCTTTTTTGTTGTATTTATTCTAAGTATAACTTTTTTCTATTATAAATTAAATATTTTCCTCCATTTGTATTTCTTGGTTATAATCATTCCAATAAAGGGAACATACTTCACAGTGGTTAAGAGCACAGACTCCTGAGTCATGTTGCCTGAGGTTGAATCCTGGTTCCATCACTTATTGTTCAGCCCAGACTTATTAAAATTAAAACAAAAATCTAAGTTGTAAGTTTGTATTGATGTTTTACTGAACCTTTAATTGTTCCATTGCAATATTATTTAGTCTAAGAATTTCCTCAAACTTTTTTTTTTTTTTTTTTTTTTGAGACAGAGTCTCACTCTGTTGCCCGGGCTAGAGTGCCATGGCGTCAGCCTACCTCACAGCAACCTCAAACTCCTGGGCTCAAGCGATCCTCCTGCCTCAGCCTCCCGAGTAGCTGGGACTACAGGCATGCGCCACCATGCCTGGCTAGTTTTTTCTATATATTTTTAGTTGTCCAATTAATTTCTTTCTATTTTTTAGTAGAGACGAGGTCTCGCTCTTGCTCAGGCTGGTCTCGAACTCCTGAGCTCAAACAATCCGCCCGCCTCGGCCTCCCAGAGTGCTAGGATTACAGGCGTGAGCCACCGCGCCCGGCCTCCTCACACTTTTAATACTAGGTTTCTCTAAAATGTTGACCTTGGGTTTTTAGAGACAAATATTCAAATGCAAATGCCAAGTAATGATTTTTAATAAACATTTCATAATTACAGAGATCTGTCTCCAGTTAATTTTAAGATAATTTGTGTAAATACTTATTGTGGTGATAATATGCATTTTGGTTGTGAATTTTATTACTTTGTTTTAAGTAAATTAATAATGAGTAAATAGCATGATAGTGGCTATTTTTAGTGTTTAGTTAATTGCATAACTTAGATTTCAGTGTTTTCTTTAATGCCCCATCTTTCTTTTTTGTTGCTGTAAAAGCTGCAGAAGTGATAAACAGATCCAGTTTTAAGTATTCAATACTACTTGAAGATGGGAAAAATCAATCATTGGAAAAAAAGGTAAATCATTGCAAATATGAATAATTCTGAACAGATAACCTTCACTTGTTCAACAAATACTTATTAAATCTCCTACTATATACGAGATACTGTGTTCAAGCAGGACAAGTATTTAAGTGTCCTACTATATACTAGGCACTGTGGATATAATTGTTTTTAAAAAAGGAGTTCTTGCTCTCTAGGAGCTTATGATTTAATTTGGATGTGGGGAAGTGTAAGACAGAGAAGTAGGATACATTTCTACAATACAGGGTACTAAGTGCAGTGAGAGAAGTTACGTTCAGAGTGCTTTGGGAACAATAGGAAGAATATCTAACCCGTTTTTGTGCTGTTTCATATTGCTTTTCTAGGTGTTGGGAAGAAGAGTCTGATGTCTTTCTGAAGTGAGAGAATTTTATCTGACCTGAGATCTGTTGGATGGTTAGGATCCTCACCTTTAGAGAGTGGTGGAAGGACATTGAGAATATTTTTCAGATTAAAGGAGAGCTTGGGACTTTGGGGTAGTGGAAAAAATAGAAGTTGATTCAGAAAGGCAGGGGTATAAAATTCACAATGGGAGAGTTTTTATGGTTTGGGCTAGAGAGGAGAGATAAGAAGAGGTCATATCACTGAAAACCTGTGTTTGAAAGAAATGGAGACAGCATGGTGGTTAAGAGAATGGACTTGAGTAAATGACCTGTGTTCAAGACCCAACCTAACTTAATTTAAACCTAAACTTCCTGTAGGAAAGTGGGATAATAATAGGACCTATCTCTTCAGTTGATAGGATGATTATCTGTCCTTGGAGTGAAGGGAACACAGAGAAGGGACTCTTCTCTGCAAGTGAATGGAAATTATATCTGTCAGTGGTATACAAATTGTGCTCCTTGGATCCCTAAGGCAGAGGTCTTCAAACTTTTTGTTCCCTGTAGCTCAAAAGAATTTTGAAGAGCCCACTCCAGCCTGGCCAACAGCGAGACCCCGATTTAAAAAAAAAAGAATTTTGAAAAGCCATGTACCGCCTTGCGTATTTTAAAGTTGAAATTTAAAATATTCATCACAAGTTTAAAAAGTTGCAAAGAACATGATTTCTGATATATCATTAATATTGACATTTAAAAAACTGTTAAAATATATCCACTACAGTTAAATACTATACTTTGGCAATTGATATCTATACTCATCTCTTTAAAATACATAAGCAAGATCTTCAACAGTCCAAAATTTTATATTTTTCTTTTTCCCCTTGAATTCTTTTTTTTGTATACTCCTCCACAAAATTTTTAATTTATATAATTTTATGCTTGAGAGTCTGTTCTTTGCAATAAAAATATGAATAGAAATTAAAAATCTTTCCATGATATATGACCAACATTTTCTTTCAAAATTATTTTTAAGGTAAATTAATACACAGGTCAAAGCAAAATACATATTATACATTTGAAAATAAACATAAAACATACAGTGTTATTGTAAATGAATCCTATAATGAAATGGGTAAGGATACCTTTCCCCCCTCAGTTAGTCTATGGATCTATCAATGTATATTGCATATTGCTGGAATGAGATAGGAAGAAGGTTGCTACTGAGGTGTGTTATTTTAAAAATTTTTAGTAGATAATTTAACATATTATCAAATAGTTTTGATGATTTCACTTTCTCTATAAATGGCCTTTACTTGGAAGTTGTAAATTATTAATCTACGCTCTTATGCACATATGCAACATACTCCCTCCATGACATCTCTCATTACATGCTTGATTCCCAGGACAGGGGTCGGAGGCTCTTTGAGCTCCTGCCTGTTCCAGCTCCATGATCCAGATACGCACCTACCTTGGCTGAGAAAAATCACTGCTCTAGAAGACACTATATGGTTTCATTAGAAAGTTTCATCACAGATAGCATGAAGCTTGTGTCTCCACATTACCTTAGACAAGTTTTTATAAGAAATTAGTTTGGATCCTAGCACTCTAGGAGGCCGAGGCGGGAGGATCGCTTAAAGTCAGGAGTTCGAGACCAGCCTGAGCAAGAGCGAGACCCGGTCTCTACTAAAAGTAGAAAGAAATTAATTGGACAACTAAAAATATATATAGAAAAAATTAGCCAGGCATGGTGGCTCATGCCTGTAGTCCCAGCTACTTGGGAGGCTGAGGCAGTAGGATCGCTTGAGCCCAGGAGTTTGAGGTTGCTGTGAGCCAGGCTGATGCCACGGCACTCTAGCCCGGGCAACAGAGTGAGACTGTGTCTCAAAAAAAAAAAAAAAAAATTGGTTTATAGATCTGTCTTATGAATCTACATTCTAATGAAATATTTTTCCATTTTTCTGTAGAATCTTAAATCTTTAACAAGCCAGACATCAAGAGGTTCCACCAAGCCCTCTCCTCAGTCCTCCAATGTCAGCTGTACACATCAGCTATCTACTGATCAAAACCAGAAGAGCAACAGCTCACTGGCTCTTTCCAGTTGTTTAATTCCAGAATGTAATCGAGAGGCTTCAGTTCTACAGAAAATGGAACATAAAAGAAAGAATGTGCTAGAGGCAAATGCAAATAATGAAAATAAGGGAAGCATGAATCTTAAAAGAAAACATATTACATATAATAATTCATCAGAGAAAACAAGTAAACAAATGGCACTGGAACAAGATGCTGAAGAGATTGAAGCCTACTTAAATTCTGGGAACTCAAGAGCATTTAAAAAACATTTTTGTGATATTCGATGTTTGGATGATTTGGCAAAAAGCCAGCTGATTGAAATGCTCAAACAGGCAGCAGCGCTGGTGGTAACTCTGATGTTTAAGGATGGTTCAACCCAGCTAAGAGCTGACCAGGTTAGGAAACAGTGTTGGTTTTTGTTTGTTGTTTTAGCACCATAAAAGAAGCCCATTATCTTAGTGTCTGACTTTGATTTGAGAGCTAGAAATAAGATTTTAAGCCTCTCCTGTCCCCCGCAATGGTAAGTCATTGACAATGCTTAGTTCCCGTTAGTTTTTTAGGAAACTGCCAAACTGTTTTCCAGAGTAGATGTACCATTTTACATTCTACTGACAACGTACAAGGGTCTCAAATTCTCAACCTCCTTGCCAATACTTGTCTATCTTTTTGGTTTTAGCCATTCTAGTGAGTATGAGTATGAGGTTGTGGTTTTAAGTTGCATTTCCCTATTAGCTAATGACATTGAGCATCTTTTCATGTGCTTATTGGCCATTCATATATCTTCTTTGGTGAAAATGTCTGTTCAGATTTTTTGCCCAATTTAAAATTGGGTTGTTTGTGTTTTATTTTGGATTCTAAGAGTTCTTCACAAATTCTTATACAAGGCCCTTATAAGATATATAATTTACAGTTCTTCCAATCCACGGCTTTTTAAAAAATTTTCTTGATGTTGTCTTTTGAAGCACAAAGTTTTTTAAATTTGATGAACTCCAATCTATTAATTTTTTTCCTTTATTGCTTGTGCTTCTTTTGTTATACATAAATATGGTTTGCCTATCCCAGGTCAAGATGATTTACTCCTGTTTTCTTCTAAGAATTTTATAGTTTTAGCTCTTTCATTTACATCTGTGATCCATTTTGAGTTAATTTTTGTATATGGTATGAGACAAGGTCACAAATTTCACCCTTTGCATATGGCTATCCATTTATCCCAGCACCATTTGTTGAAAAGACTCCTTTGTCCGCTGAATTTTCTTGGCACTTTTATTAAAAATCAATTGACTATAAATTTTATTGAAAATAAATTGACTATAGGGTTTATTTCTGGATGTTCAATTCTTTCCATTAATTTTTGTGCTATCCTTATGACACTACTACGCTGTCTTAATTACTGGAGCTTTGTAGTAAGTTTTGAAATCAGGAAGCATGAGTCCTTCAACTTTGTGTTTTTCAAGATTGTTTTGGGTTTTGTGGTTCTTTTGCATTTCCATAAAAATTTTAGGCATAGTCAATTTATGCAAACATCCAAATGGGATTTTGATACAAATTGTGTTCTATCTATAGATTAATTTCGGGAGTCTTGCCATCTTAATAGTATTGAGTTTTCTGATCCATGAACATGGGGTGTCTCTACAATTATTTAAGACTTTAATTTCTTTTAGCAATGTTTTATAGTTTTCAGGGTAGTATGTGAGTCTTGCTTTACCTTTCATTTTTGAGAAGGACATTTTGCTGGCTAAAGAATGTAAGTTGATAATTTTTTTCTTTCAGTATTTTAAAGATATTGCTCTACTGTCTTCTAACTTACTCTATTTTGCCCACAAGAAATCTGCTGTCATCCTTATCTTTGTTTCTATCTATATAATGTGTTTTGCCCCCCTGGTTTCTTTTAAGGTTTTTTTCTTTATCACTGGTTTTAATCAATTCGATTATCATGAATTTTTCTTGATGTAGTTTTCTTCATGTTTCCTGTACTTGAGGTTTATTGAGCTTCTTAGTTATAAAGATTAACTTGGGAAGAAGTGACAAACTTAATTATGTTGAGTTTTTTAATCCTTGAGTATGGTATGTCTCGTTGTTTAGGTCTTCTCTAAAATATTTCATCAGCATTTTGTAGTTTTCAGCTTACAGATCCTGCACATATTTTGTTGATTTATACCTAAGTATTTCATTTTTTGGAGTTATTATAAATAATAATAGTGTTTTAAAATTTCCATTTTTACGTTTATTGCTAGTATATAAAAATACATTTGATTTTGTGCTTTGATCTTGTGTCCTGCAACTTGCTAAATTCACAGATTAATTTCAGATTTTTTTATAGACTCCTTTGAGTTTTCTACACAGACATTCGTGTCATCTGTAAATAGAGACAATATAATGCTCCCTTTCTGATTTGTATGCCTTTTATTTCTTTTTCCTATCATGTTGCACTGCCTCAGTAGTCCATTATGTTGTTGAATAGTATAGAAGACCAGATTAGGAGTAAGATCATGGGTTTGGCTTTTGGTCTTGTAAGTAAAAGAGCTATTCATTTACAAATTTAATTTTAGGACTTTTCTCTTTCTCTCTGCTTAATTATAAAATGTGACATCTTTCTTGAATAGATGTGTTGTCTGTGTTTAATTTTGAAACTTTATTGTGTATTCACAGGCTCCACTTTCCTCTGTTGAAGGAATTGTCATGTTACTCAAGAGCCAAGCAGAAGGCAGCTGTGGAGGTGTGGAGGCCCCTGCCTGTGGCAGTGTTCTGGGAGAGGCCTTCCTGTCTGGTGATCAGTGTATCTACATACAAACAGAGCACTCTTCTATCAGGGGCCAAGAAAAAAGGGCACATAATCAATTTGCCAGGTAAGAAATTTTCACTCATTATTTTAAATCCTACTTACATGCTGCTTTATCCTAATGTGAAGTTTCCTAAGTTCCAATTTTAATTTTTTAAACTTTTAGAAGTTTTGTATGGGCACTTGAAAACAAAATGGATCTAAATGATAGAAACTTCTGCAAACACTGGTCCTCTCTCCCCCAGAGAGCTTCTGGAATGGAGTTGACATCTTTCTGTAAGAGCCTGCTCCAGGATTTGAGTAAACTTCGCAATGAGAAGTCAAGGAGAAAAACATTGTCCCCACGCTCTGAAAACCCCCTGTCATTGCCAGAGCCCCAGATGATTTTCCCCATCACACTTGTTCACTCACTTACAGAAATGAAGTTATCACTGCTTGCAAACAGTAAATTGTTCTCAATAATACCAAGGATAGTACTAATTCCAAAGTTCCATGTCTACGAAAATAGGCAAGGGTTGTCTCTCCTGGACCTATCCTTAGAATCATGGAATTTTAAAGCAGGCAGAGATGCTCCTGTTGCCCCTTTTCAATCCTGAAAAGCTCTTTCTGGGTTGGAGCTTGAGCCCCACCTCCTCACTGATTATTCACTGAGGTTGTCCACCTGACTCGGATTTTTGCCTTGGATCGGGGCATCTGCTACCTTCCCAGCCCTTTGTGTTGAAAGTCAATTAACTACTCTGGGGGAGCTCCCTGAAGCCACCACCCTGAAAAAGGGTTCAAGGCAGCTCCGGAGAAAGACAGGCCCAGTACTAGCACTTCCGTGCTTTATATAGGCTTGCTGGGCTCTGGGTGGTTTTTAGGTAACTTTTTGGGGAGAAGGGGACAATGTTTAACAAACACAGCCTTCTGCTCCCAACAGAACCCTTAACCTTCTTTGTATGTAATTTCCTTTTTAAAGAACAATTAGGCAAGTCTAGTGTATGGAGGACCCTTGTGAGGATAAAGCCCTAATATTTGGATGGCCTTTTTTGAATTTCAGATTCATATAACCTACTCAGCATTCTCCACTTGGACATCTAGTAGTCATTTCATCCTAACATGTCCAAAACTGTACTCCTGTATTCCCCTGGACCCTGCCCTATGGCCTGGTCGTCTTAGTCAGCATCAGTAGTAGTAGTCCATGAGCTCAGGCCAAAAGTCTTGGAGTTATCTCTAACTTCTTTTTTCCATGAACCATATCCAAGCTCTTAGCGAATCCCATTGGCTCTGTCTTCAAAGTGTAGTTAGAATCTGCCCTACTCTTATCTACTCTACTGCTGCCACTGGATGCAGGCCGTTACCTCTGGACTGAACCACTGCAAGGGCTTCTAGACTGGACCCCTGCTTCCACCTTCCCCTTCAGTCTGTTTTCAGCACAGCACCCAGAGCCAGCCTATTAAAACATAAATCAGATCACATCATTTCTCTGCTCAAGACCCTCTAACAGCTCCTGCTTTGCTCTGAAAAAAAGCCAAAGTCATTACTACTCGGCCTTTTGGCTAAGATCAAGTATAGGAAAGCCAGAGTCCCTGTGGTTGCCCTTGAGGCCTGCATGCTCCGGGCCCTCCGCTGCCTCTGACCTCCTAGCCTCTCAGCGCACTGTAGGCCCTTGCTGTTCCTGACCATGTGGAACACGCCTCTACCTGAGGGCCTTGTAGGAGGGGCTGTCCTCTCCTGCAGCATTCTCCCAGATATCTGTATGGTTTGCTGCCTCATTCCTTTATGCTTTTCTCTAAACAAACAAACAAAAAGTGAATATGAAAACACGAAAGTAGAGAGTAGTATACACATCCACCCAGACCAATATTATCAAAGATTTTTCCATGCTTCCTTCATCCCTTTTTCAGGGAGATGGAGAGACTGGGATTAAAGACGATCCTAGACCTGTCATTTTGCCCTCACATGTCACAAGGTGCAACTCTGAAAAATATGGGTGTTTTTTTTCTTTATATAGCCACAGCGCCATTTTCAAACTTAACAAATTAACAATACACAATCTGAATTTAAATTTACACAGTGGTTTCGAAAATGTCCATGTAGATAGGATCAAGATGGCTGACTAGGCCGGGCGCGGTGGCTCACGCCTGTAATCCTAGCACTCTGGGAGGCCGAGGTGGGTGGATTGTTTGAGCTCAGGAGTTCGAAACCAGCCTGAGCAAGAGCGAGACCCTGTCTCTACTAAAAATAGAAAGAAATTAATCGGACGACTAAAAATATATAGAAAAAATTAGCCGGGCATGGTGGCGCATGCCTGTAGTCCCAGCTACTCGGGAGGCTGAGGCAGAAGGATTGCTTGAGCCCAGGAGTTTGAGGTTGCTGTGAGCTAGGATGATGCCACGGCACTCACTCTAGCCCGGGCAACAGAGTGAGACTCTGTCTCAAAAAAAAAAAAAAAAAAAAAAAATGATGGCTGACTAGACAGGTAGTGTGTGCCTCCTCCATGTAGAGGAAACAGATCATCTAGGAGAGAACTCAGGGATTCAACAGAGAAGTGATAGGAGGTGCCAAAGTAGTTAAGGAGAGAGTTCAGGGCAACTTGCCCAGCCAGGGGCTGGCTAATAGCCAGGGGAAGCTCCTGGATGTGGTGAAGCAGTAAGAGAGAATCCCCCAGAGTTCCACTCTCCAAGACAAACTTTTACAATCTTGACTACAAAAGAACCCCCAACCCATGCAGGTCTTGGCCTAACAAAGGAGCTGCTTGGAGATTATACAGAGACATTGTTCCTAAAAGGGAACTCATGCGGAATCCCGTGCACATCTGAGCCTAGAACAGCTTGAGCCAGGGACCATTCTGGGAGACTAGATACTGGGGAACCGTGGGTGTGCTTGCAGCCACTGTGCAGGTTTGAAGAGGGATAGAGGGGCCCAGGTGCTCCCACACACTCCTGGGAAGGTCCCCACCGCCTTGCCGTGGGCTGCTATTGAGACCGAGATGTGGGTGGACAGCATTTTCCACAGTTTCTCGCCCACGCCAACTGCCTGGGAAGGGCCCCAGCCTTTCTGGTTGCAGGCCCAAGGCACCATTTTGAGAGTTTGACACTGGAATGTACCCTGCCCTTAGGTTGGGTTTGGGCTTGATGTAGCTGCAGCCCCCGCCTGGCTGGGGAGGGACAGAGAAGCCAGGCTTTCCAGCATGCATTTGGGACTACCATCCTGCATCTGGCTGCTGTCAGACTAAGCCTCAAGCAAACTGCACTCTCCACAGTTTCTTGCCAGCACAGCCTACCTGAGAAGGGCCCCACCCTCTCTGGTCATAGGCCCAGGACACCATTTTGGGAGTTCGAAGCTGAGCAGTGCCCTGCCCTTGGGCTGAATTTGGGCTGACACAGCCCACCCTGCTGAAGAGGGACAGGGGAGCCCAAGCTCACCTACACATACTGAGGACAATTACCACCGTCCTACTACGGGCTGCTGTGGAACCGAGTTGTGAGTAGACAGTACTCCCCCTCTCTCTTGCATATGCTGTTTGCCTGGAAGGGATCCATCCACTCTGGTCAGAGGCCCAAGTTGTTACTTTGGAAGTCTAAAGGTAGGCAGCACCCTCCTCTCAGGCTGAGCTGCATCCCTGCCCAGCTTAGAAGGGACACAGGAGCCCAACCTCTCCAACCTACTGCTAGGACAATTCCCGCTGCCCTGCTACAAGCCACAGTGAGACTGAGATGGGAGCATCTTGCCTACATGGTTTGCCTGGAAGTGGCCTCACCCTCTCTGTTCACAGGCCCAAGGTGTTAGTTTGGAAGCATAAAGCTGGGCAGCGCCCTGCCGTTGGACTGAGTTCACGCTGACACAGCTGTAGTCCTGTCCAGCTGGGGAGGGCCAGAGAAGCCCGAGCTCTCCTGCCTACTGCTAAAAAAATTCCTACTGCCCTGCTATAAACTGCAGTGAGACCAAGACAGGAGCAGACAGCACTCTACCCAGCATCTTGCCCATGCTGTTTGCTTGGAAGAGGCCCCATCCTCTCAGGTCACAGGCCCAAGGCACCAATTTGGGAGCTTAAAGCTGGGCAGCTCAGGAAGGGATGTGGAGAAGGGGACCTCCCCTCCTCCAACCATGCAATTTTGCACATATAGCTGCCTCTGCTCCCAAGCATGAGCTTTTGGTGCAAAAGAGCGGCAGGACAGCCAGTTTTAAGCTTGCAGAGGTGGGTATACCCCCAATAGTACTCTCCTCACTGCACCCAGGTTCTGCACAGAGGGTGTGGCTCATTTCCCTCCCTTCACAGACAGGCAGTGAAGCTGCCTCGACCTGGGAACCTCAGCCCCTGGGTTTCTACATCACTGGATCCACAGCCAACACCCCCCAGCACCCACGCAGACTGCAGCATCCTCAGGGGACCGGTGGGTTCCGGGGGAACTGTGGTCTCCTGGAGCTTGGGCATTCAGGGCAGGCCACTTCCAGCCAACAGGAGAGTGCAGCACGCCAGAAGGCCCCTTAGGACAAAGGGGACCAGGGAACCAGCTCCCCACCATTTAGGGCCTTCTTTTCCTTCTCCCCTTCCCTGCCCACTGCTTCTGAGGCAGCCGTGGCTGTTTCCACCCAGGACAGACAAGGGTTCTGCAGGGGAAGATTAAGCCAGGGCACTTGTGAGCAGCTGCCCCACCTCTGACAGAGTGTCTGTCACACCCAGGCTTCAACAGAGCTTGGAGCTCACTCCTTTCCTTCTAAAAAAAACCACAGTGGGCTCTTTTGTGTGTGCCTCAAGGACAAAAACTACCACCTCCCCTAAGGGTGAGCAAGGCTAGCAGTCCCCTCCCCAAGCTGCCTGTCTCCTCTGGGAGGAGTATGTCCTCCCTGGGTCAAGTCCCACAACCATACTTCCCCTGCTAGAGCATTTCGGCCACAGGCCACAGCCAGTCTGGTTGCCCTGCACATAGCAGGTTGAGCTGCCTCCACCACCTCTGCTTCATCTGGGCCAGGGTGGGAGCTGGGAATCTGGGTGCTTTTGTGCCCCTGTAGGACAGAAACTGCTGCCACTGCCGAGAAAGGGAAGTGTGAGTGGCATGTGTGTCCCACAGATGCCTGCCACTG